CCCCTAGCTGCTCCCCCCAGGCCCCTAATCTGCCAGGGGCCCCCCCTATAAAAACCGCCTCCTCAAGCGCGGGCCATCCAAAATTCCCTAAAGGGTCCCTGTACGGCCTCCTTTGGGCTGCGGGTCTCCTTCCCACACTCCGCCAGGGTGCCACTTTCAGGTCTCCTCACACACTGCGGGTTGTTTTCTATTTTTTGACATAGGGTCCCGGCCCAGATTACGGGGGCCTCCCAAAAGCTGCCCCCGGGCCCCAAAACGCCAGGGGCCCCTATACCGCCTCCCATGCTGCTCCCAATCCCGGGAGTCTCTCAGGGGTCCCTGTCCCGGCCACCCCTTGCGCTGCCCAAACCCCCAACACTCTCCCATGTCCATTTTTCAGGTCTCCTCACACTGCTGGTGTTTAAATTTTTGACATAGGGTGCTGGCAGATTAGGGGGCCTCCCAAAAGCGCGCCGGGCCCCTTTTCTGCCATGGCCCCTATATACGCCTCTTACTCATGCTGCTGCCAATTCATATCTGTCAGTCCCTGTCCGGCCTTTCCCATTGCTCGCTGTCTCTCCGATCGCCACACTCTGCCATGTGCCACTTCAGGCTCCTCACTACTGCTGGTGTGTTGAAATTTTTTGGAGCATAGGGTGCTGGCAGATTATCGTGGCCCCAGTAGAGGCGAGCTTCGCGTGCTGCCAGAGCCCCTAATCTGCCATATTACTGGCACAACAGCCGGCCTATATACCGCGGCCTCTCTCATGCTGCTGCCAGGTCCCAAGTCTATCATGGGTCCCTGTACGGCCTCCCATTGCTGCTGTCTCCATCGCCACACTCTGCCATGTGCCACTTTCAGGTCTCCTCGACACACTGCTGTGTGTTCTGATTTTTGACATAGGTGCTGGCAGATTCACGGCCTCACTATAGCTGCTGCCAGGCACTCTAATCTGCCATGGGGCCCCTATATACCCTGCCTCACTCATGCGCTGCCAGGTCCAGAGTCTCTCATGGGTCCCTGTACGGCCTCCCATTGCTGCTGTCTCCATCGCCACACTCTGCCATGATGCCACTTTCATGGTCTCCTCACACAGCTGCTGGTGTTGTTGAATTTTTTTGACATAGTGTGCTGGCAGATTACGGGCCTCATTAGCTGCTGCCAGGCCCCCTAATCTGCCATGGGCCCCTATACCGACTCCTCATGCTGTGACGTTTGCAACAGGTGGAATTCAACCCTACAAATGTTAGAAACCGCCTTTACGAACAGCAAAAGCCATCTCAGATTTCCTGATTTAAAAAGCGGATAAAGGTACTCCCTGTGTAACTTAGATGTCAGGCCCATTGGCAGCTACATGCGTGACACCTGCGGCTTGCTCAGGCCCTTTGAGGAGAGCCACGCTATTCGTGAGTCGGCAGGAACTATGGGATGTTCAACGACGTCATTCCCGTCTAAATTGCACTGTCCTGGAACAAATGCTGTTAACAATGTGCTGTCAGGGTGCGGTAGAACGTTGCGCACAGATCTCAACGCCACATGACACCCCTGTGGGGGCAGGACAGGAAGAAGAGGATTCGGAGGTAAGGAGGACATTGGTGCTCAGGACGAGTTATTGGAGTGAAATGGTGGTTTTTACCACTCAGCGGACAGGAGTGGAGGAGCAGGAGCATCTGGTAGAGGAGGAGGAAGAGGAGACAGAGGACCCAGACGCACCGTGGCAGTATGCTGTGGAGATGGAGGCAGGGAGTCCCTCGCATTCCTTTGGCACAAATGGCCCATAGCATGCTCGCTTGCTTGCGTACCGACAGCCGAATAATAACCATCAGACAGAGGGATGACTTTTGGCTGTCCACCTTGTTGGACCCTCGCTACCGTTCCAAAATGGTGGCCTTTTTCACACCTGCTGAGAGGGAGGCCAAAATAACGTACTATAAAAACCACCTATGTAGTCAGCTGGTCTCTGCCTCAGCTCCACCAGCAGCAGCTGCCTCAGTCTGCAGTCGATGATGAGTAGCTTTCTTCACCAGCGCAGTGAGGAAACTAATAACCAGCCGCAGCAGCAGCAGCAGCAGCAGCAGCATCAGGTGGACCTGGAGCAGGACCTCAAACAACAGGCTTAGGCCTACTTGGACAGCACCCTGCCAACCGAGGTAGACAATCCCCTTGACTACTGGGCAACGAAACTTGACCTTTGGCCCCAACTAGCTGAATTTGCCCTTGAAAGGCTGTCATGCCCGGCCAGTAACGTGGCATCGGAGCGCGTGTTTAGTGCGGCAGGAGGTATTGCAACTCCGCGGAGGACACGACTGTCCACCCAAAGTGTGGAGAGACTCACGTTTGTGAAAATGAATCAGGCGTGGATTAGTCTGGATTTCAAACCACCAGTTCCTGACACAACTGACTAAATCCGCCATGAATCATGCCCCAAACATGTGCCACTTTCAGGTCTCCTCACACTGCTGGTGTGTTCCATTTTTTGTCATAGGGTGCTGGCAGATTACGGGCCTCCCATAGCTGCTGCCAGGCCCCTAATCTGCCATGGGCCCCTATAACCGCCTCCTCATGCTGCTGCCAAGTCCAGAGTCTCTCATGGGTCCCTGTACGGCCTCCCATTGCTGCTGTCTCCATCGCCACACTCTGCCATGTGCCACTTTCAGGTCTCCTCACACTGCTGGTGTGTTCAATTTTTTGACATAGGGTGCTGGCAGATTACGGGCCTCCCATAGCTGCTGCCAGGCCCCTTATCTGCCATGGGCCCCTATACCGCCTCCTCATGCTGCTGCCAAGTCCAGAGTCTCTCATGGGTCCCTGTACAGCCTCCCATTGCTGCTGTCTCCATCGCCACACTCTGCCATGTGCCACTTTCAGGTCTCCTCACACTGCTGGTGTGTTCAATTTTTTGACATAGGGTGCTGGCAGAATACGGGCCTCCCATAGCTGCTGCCAGGCCCCTAATCTGCCATGGGCCCCTATACCGCCTCCTCATGCTGCTGCCAAGTCCAGAGTCTGTCATGGGTCCCTGTACGGCCTCCCATTGCTGCTGTCTCCATCGCCACACTCTGCCATGTGCCACTTTCAGGTCTCCTCACACTGCTGGTGTGTTGAATTTTTTGACATAGGGTGCTGGCAGATTACGGGCCTCCCATAGCTGCTGCCAGGCCCCTAATCTGCCATGGGCCCCTATACCGCCTCCTCATGCTGCTGCCAGGTCCAGAGTCTCTCATGGGTCCCTGTACGGCCTCCCATTGCTGCTGTCTCCATCGCCACACTCTGCCATGTGCCACTTTCAGGTCTCCTCACACACTGCTGGTGTGTTGAATTTTTTTGTCATAGGGTGCTGGCAGATTTCGGGCCTCCTATAGCTGCTGCCAGGCCCCTAATCTGCCATGGGCTCCTATACCGCCTCCTCATGCTGCTGCCAGGTCCAGAGTCGCTCATGGGTCCCTGTACGGCCTCCCATTGCTGCTGTCTCCATCGCCACACTCTGCCATGTGCCACTTTCAGGTCTCCTCACACACTGCTGGTGTGTTCCATTTTTTGTCATAGGGTGCTGACAGATTACGGGCCTCCCATTGCTGCTGCCAGGCCTGTAATCTGCCATGGGCCCCCGTACCGCCTGGTCACGCTGCTGCTGGGTCCACAGTGTGACATGGGTCCCTGTACCGCCTCCCATTGCTCCCACTCTGCCATGTGCCACTTTGAGGTCTCCTCACACTCCTGCTGTTTTCCATTTTGTCATAGGTTGCTGGCAGATTACAGGCCTCCCATAGGTGCTGCCAGGCCCCAAATCTGCCATGGGCCCCCGTACCGCCTCGTCACGCTGCTGCTGGGTCCACAGTGTGACATGGGTCCCTGTACCCCTCCCATTGCTCCCACTCTGCCATGTGCCACTTTGAGGTCTCCTCACACTCCTGCTGGTTTCCATTTTGTCATAGGTTGCTGTATGGCCTCCCATTGCTGCTGCCTCCACCGCCACACTGTGGCTCCAAACACTGGTTTTGGCCCCGTGACTGGCCAAATGAGTGAAGTGTGCGGTGATTCTAAGATCGACGGCACTCATCTGCATGTCATACTGACTGACAGTATTATTTCTCTTCCCCAGCAGACTCCAAGGGCATTTAAATTAAAGGTACAGTGTTCTGCACTAATATTAAGTCTCTCTGAAGCCTAGAAACACCCTTTTTTAAGTTAAATTCACAGCGAATATATTCGACTCGAATCGAATACTGTCCACGAATTCGCCGAATCAGTCGAATCGAATTTTTGAATTCTTCGCTCATCTCTAATCATTATCACTCAATTCTGCAAGTGGTTCTGATTTACTATCACTGTTCTCTAGTCGGTCTAAACCCGCTTTTGACCTAAAGGGACGCTTTTTGGACGCCATGGACTTTTCTCAGTTTCCAGGCAGAAAGAACAGACATAATGCAGGCAGGGCACAGGACAAAGCACTCGGGACAAAATGTATGTGAAATGGGTTGAAACAGCAATGTTTTACTATGTAAAATGTGTTTGAAAAAAAATGACATTTTTTAAAATTTTCAAATTTCCCGCCGGCGGCGGCGTCCGTACGTCCCGACGTCACAGGGACTGGAACACGGAAGCCGGATGCCGGCATCAGCCGGAGGAGATGGCCGGGGATGCTGCAGGGGACACATCGTGGGAGCGAAGGACAAGGTAAGCTCTGCAGAGACTCCCTATGCAGCGCTGCATGGTAAGCCCGAGTGTAGCTCAGGGTTACCGCTTTTGGTACTGACATTTTACCCCGAGCTACACTCGGGAATACCGCCAGGGAGGTTAAAAAAAAATGACATGGGGGCCCCCTTCAAAATCCATACCAGACCCTTATCCCAGCATGCAACCTGGCAGGTCAGGAAAGGGGGGAATGGGCCAGCACCCCCCCCCCTCCTGAGCCATACCAGGCCACATGCCCTCAACATGGGGGGGAGTGCTTTCCAACGCATTTTGTCAACATGTTGATGGGGACAAGGGCCTCTTCCCCACAACCTTGACCGGTGGTTGTGGGAGTCTGTGGGTGGGGGCTTATCGGAATCTGGAAGCTTCCTTTAATAAGGGATCAGATCCCATCCCCCCCAGTGAATGCGTAGATATAGTGTAGTCTAAAAAATGACACTAGACAGTCTTCAACAAGTCCTTTTTTCAAAACAAAAAATATAAAAATGTCCCCCCAAAGTAGATCCAACGTCAATCACGATGCCCGCCCCCATGGTTGACCCGAAAAAAAATGCTTTGCTCTCTTTGCTGGCTCTTGCTGTCTAACAGCTGAGCCGGAATGACAGTTCTTAAATACTGTGATGATGTCACAAGGGGGAGGGGTCATCCCGCCCCTTGTGACATCATCATACGCTGTGATTGACCAAGGTATTGCACCTGACCTGTGGTCAAGTGCATTGCTTTGGCCAATCACAATGCACTGTCAGGGTGCAGTGCATTGTGGGGCGCGGCGGGCGAACATGCAGCTGAACGCCCTTACAGTTGTGTGTTGACGAACATCTGGCCTAACACTAGTAAGCATTAGCACCTTTCTGGAAGAGCCCCAAAACTAGTCATTGTGCTCATTTGAGAGTAGAGAAGAATGTGCACCTAGAGTTATAGAAAGTGTAAATCTGGCTCTAACTGGAAGGCAATTCCTGATTTATAAAGAACATCTTCAAAGAATCTTTCACATGTCTAGTATATCATATATATCACCACATAAATCATACTTAATTAATCTAACTCCATTAGTGAAATACAAAAGACTGCAAGTCAATCGTTATAAATTCTGAGATTGTCCTTTAATAAAAATGCTTCTGGAAACAGGTTCGACGAAAAGAGGTTCTGGGTGCATGAACAACTAAAAGAAGAAAAATGTAAGCTGTAGCCAAGAAGATCATATTTTAAAAATAGATCTATATCTCCTTTGTTGAAATTGTTTTTCAAAACTGTTTTTAAAACAGAAGCTTTACTTGGCAAAGAACATGAAATAAAACCATTTTTGAAGTATGGAAAGGCTTTACTGAAGTGGTTGTTAACCTCAGACATGAAATGTGAACAAAGCATATCCCTCTACAGTGTGTACTTGTCTCAGTCCAGAGCACTAAGTGTAATTTGTGTACGCTGCCTCATTGCTCTGCTATCAACATGAGTTACTTCTCATGATTTTTCCTGACATCAAGAGAAAAATGGTGACAAGGGAGGGCACAGCCTGTGATTGACAGCCTCAGCTCTGTTCCTGTGTGCTGTGTGAAGGGGGTGTGTCCCTTCCCTCCAATCAGCTATCAGAGCTCTCCTCAATGATGTAACTTTAGCTCCCTGCCCCCTGCTTTTCAGAGCTGAGAAATTAAATATAAATTCTGTTCTTTGAATGGATGTAGGGGAAGGCTGTAGATCAGCCTTTTTCAGACAGGGTGCCCAGGCAAAATTGCCCAAAACTTGTATACAAGCCAGTGGGTGGAACAAGCCTGCTTGTTAGTTACACAAAGCCACAGGTTTTCATTGTGTATCATTACAGCCTTCTTGCTGCTGCTATCCTGACAACCAATGACATCATCCACTGATAAGAAGGATGTTGGTTGCCAGCAAAGCATTCTTGTTTGACCCCCACCCCCCCATCTCCGTCAGTGCTGTGGTCACATTACTTCAGTTATGGAGAAAAACTGAGGGAAAAGAGAAACACTGGAATACTAGTCAGTACCAGTGTGCAAAAGTGTATTTGCTTTGGAAGGAAAAATCACCTCTAATGTTGGGTGTCCTAGGTATGAGGATGTTACTGAATTATATAAAACTATTAGAATAGTTTTTTTTACATTTTAGAATGGGGTGCCTCAAGACTGTTCATAATATTAAAGGTTGCCTTGACTGAAAAAAGGTTGAGAAACATCGATATAGATAAACAGGTACAACTTATGTTAGAGGATTTGGACCATTTCTGTGGCCAATCACTTCACTGGGTATATGTAAGGGTTTACAACCGCTTTACTATGAGAAACCCACTAACTGAACAAAAACAGGTCCACTGGCAAAGCTAACTAGTGGCTCCCTTGACAGTAGAAAATAATGAATTTAACAATCATACATAGTCTTTTTATGTTCTTAAAGCAGAATTCCAACCAGAAATACCAATATAAAATGAATTGTCCATTAAAAGATAAAAAAAAAATGTTTGCTGCAATATTCAGCTTTAATTATTATTATTATACAGTATTTATAAGGGTCAATAGTTCGCTCAGCGCTGTACATTACAAAGGGGGACAGAACATGTGACAGAACAATACCAATACAATGCAAAACATGAGGGGATCGAGGGCCCTGCTCTTTCGAGCTTACAATCTAGGAATTCCAGAGTGCAATACTTTCCCCCTGCAATACTTTTATCTGTAGCTAGATGTTCTCAGTCTGATGGCCATTGTAACGGAACCGACCCAGTCTGTGCTTGGATACTTCCGTTAGAATACTGATTCCCTGTCTGAGCACCGACCACAGACACCACAGATTTGATTTAAGCCAGAAAATAGACTATTTTATTTGAACACAGATACAAGATATAGACACTCAAGGGACAAATCCCCCCTCCCTGCATAATGACACAGGGCGGGGCAAACTAGTAACAAGAGACACACAGGTATTCAACCTTCACTCCAGCAGACAGTCCCATCAGGAGGGAGGGCTGCTGGAGACACCCCCACTAA